CGAGCGTACGATGCGCTGCGCGTCGCTTCGATCGAGTGGCCTGCGTGGGACCGGCGGAACGGTTCGGCCGGTGCGCCGTTCCTAAACACTTCCCTTTAATCTAGCCCGGCTGTCCTAGGGCTGCTGCTCCACAGGCCGAAAGAAAGCCTTCTGGTTAACTGGGCCGCCGGCCGGCCCATTCACCAGCTGCGCTTCGGTCAAGGGGTCAGTGCTACGGTCCGTCATGGTGCTGGATGCCGGCGACGCGGGCGGTCCGTCATGGGATCCGGCGTCTGCTGGTCTTCTCAATGGATCCAGACGAGGCACGCGAGGCCATCCAGGCAGAAGCAGCCTCTCTCCCCGACCTCTCGTCTCTCTCTCTCACGAAGTTGGAGATCATGCGCCGCCGCAATTCCACCACCGCTGGGTCCCTTTGCTCATCTCCATCATCGCCCGTGCGTGGGAGCTGGTGCCGTCCCCCTCGCCTACGTTGACGCGGTGACGACAGGCGTGAGGCGCGGGCGGTTGAGCCGCTTCCTTCCATCAAGAGACCTCCTCCCTGACCTCTCTAGCGGGAGGCGAACGCTCCACGCCGGTGGGATCCTGCCTCCTTCCACGAGTGAGCATCTCGTGGCTGCCCTACCCTTCACGTCCCTTATTCCCTGCGCCACCACGACGCAGTCTACCTCCAGATGACACAGAAAGACGGCAGCCTCGACTCCGCTACACCACCACATCGTTGCTGGCTTTCGGGCTTAATGTCATCCTAATCATAGTTCCTTTCTATATATAACCATTTTCAGACTTTTGACAGGCATATCAACTGCAGATGATGTGCAAAGGAAGTTCAGATAACAAGCATATGAAAGCATCCTGGAAACTAACCTGTGGTAGGTAGCACTACAATGGTATCAAACTATTTTTTGTCATATTACTCCAGATTTGTTCATGGTTATTTTTTTATTATTAAGTATCTAAAATACAATTCCTTGAACAATTTGCTTACAGTCTGGTGGGGCTTTGGTAAGTGCCCCTCCCCCTGCTCATAACCATGGTGTTTACTTTTATTGTGTGCTACTCCTTCCGTCCCATAATATAAGAGCGTTTTTTACACTAAGGGAGCACAACTGATGTGTGCTTTGCTAATTGTTGATTTGTGCAGATATATGCAAAGTGTGTTTTGGCAGCTATAGGAAGGAAATAACAATGCCTAATTTGTTCTGAAAATAGTTTTATATCAGTTGGTGGCTAATCGTACCAGTTTTTAAGATAAGAAATTGCAACTAATACAACTACTACGTAACTAAGTTTCTTATTGTGGGGATAGCCCCTGAAGCAATGCGTTAGCATTCAGTTGAGTAGCATGTGGCATGCTTAGGCTAAACAAGAAGACAATCTAGACCAGATAGTAAGCTTAATTTGCATTGATGAGTACATAGAGCAGAATTTCCTCTTATAAATCATATGTTCGTGTCGTAGCCAGATTTTGATCATCATTAGTAAAATTGTTCCAGAGTTGATCTAGACCAGATAGTAAGCTTAATTTGCATGGTCAGACATTTTTCCTCCAAGTTAAGTTGGATGACTAAAATATTATCACTTCAAGATTTATCGTATCACAGTAGTCATCAAATAGTTTTTTGTGTCATGCACATAGACTTGGTCCCCCTTCTCTGCTGCACGCGCCAAACTCTAGATCAAATCCTCCTCTAGCAGCGACGGTGCTTCCTTCATAACCCTATGTGATTTATTTCTTTCCGTACCTTAAATTCATGTAGTCTTGGTCATATCAAGGAAAAGAACAGGATAACATTTTGTCACCTTCAGTGCTTCCTACTGTATTTGTTAGCTAATTTTGCTATGCAGATCTTATTTAACCCACCGTGTTGTTGTTATTTGGAATATATCCTATGTGTATCTAAATTTTTCCAGCCATGCTGTCGTGCCACACAAAAATACTTTACAGTTCGATTAGTTGAGAATAGACCGCATCTTCATACTAATTTCAAATATAGAATATTGAGACGACTTGTATTTTATCGTCCATCTTTATGTAGGATGCCTGTAGATCCCTTGTTTATTGTTAAATTGATCTTGTTAGATAAAGTGCAGCCACCCTGATAGCAATGTTTCTAATCAATACATACAAAGGAAGAGGGATCAACGGTTCGCAAGAGGATATATACTATTTGTTAATTATCTTGGTGATTCTTCTATCTGGATTATTTTACATATTGTCTCGAATACATAGATAACCTGGAGAATGTTCGCATCTTGCGGAAGGTAATTTAGACGAAATTATTAAGATTGATGCAAGAAGAGCTTGGGACCTCCACATTATGTACTGCACAAGTCCCTTTCAATTAAATTACCGTTCGTTAATTTATCTCATCCTCACTGGTCCATGTGTTCATGTATACCTCATGAAGAGCCTGGGACCTCCACATTACTACATCGACTTATGAATTTCTATAATCCACCTCCAAGCAATCATGCATGAACCATAAATTTTGCCAGTTTGTACCCTATTTGGTATCATTGGTTCACCCGCTGAATGTAACAAGGAATGACTTCTTATTCATCATGGAAGGGCTATTTTTCAATCATGATGTACATTATTTCTAGCTATAATATAAGTATATAACACATTCACCACTAGAGATCAGGTTTCTAATGTATAGCGGTCCTTCAAGTTTCAGAGAATGACATGCATATGTCTGTTAGATGTTGAGAAACTTCTGATGGGTTGGTAATTTGTAAATGGCCCTTCAAGTTTGAGCACATATTTGTCTTTTCATTTTTGCAATATTACTTCGAATAATTATTTTACCAAATAATGTTTGTGCTCCTCTCTTGATGTCTACTTCAGCACGTGTTTGTGTGCAACATTTGGTGTTTATGTGCTAAACATACAAGGGAGGAATGCACTCCCTTATTATAAACAACTTTGCTGTGTTGGCCATATGTACAATTACTTGGAAGTGTGTCACAAGGCAGAGTAAAAATTTGACAAGAATATAGAAAAGACGGCAAAAGTTGTATGCCCGGATGTAATACCTTGTAGAATTGTTGTCTGTTAGACTATAGTGTAGAACATTCGTGCATGGCAGCAACAGTGTAAGAAATGCTCTGAGATTGTCTAGATAACAAATTTTGTCTATAATTTCTGCAATATTTGTAATGCCTATTTTAATTATAATTTTCCCAAATTTTACTAATTTCATCCATTAATATTTCTATTTTTGGATGTTCTGACGCGAGCCTTGCGATAGTGTTTTAGTAGCTAAAAGTGGCCATGATCAATCATATAACATGCATCCATCAACATTTCTAATTAAAATCCCCTATGCTTAATACCACAACTCAAACCATCAAGTCTGCTAGATTCAAGTTTAAAACATTGCAACCCAGTATTTATAAAGCTAAAATAGAGGGGCGCGGCAACGCGCGCCATCAATAATCTAGTAGCTTGTAAAAATAGCTTGCATTGTGAGACGGATGGCGTAATCAATAAAAAATGGGTGTGGCAGTAGGTTCTAAAAAATAAGAGCACAACAGGTGTGACGACTTCATAGGAACAACATGCCTTTTGACTCAAAAAATTTGAGCTCCAAGCTTTACCACCGGCCACCTTGCGCATGTGGCTACCAACAACAAAGGGTAGTGCTTGCCAAATATCCTCACCCTCTACCTATAACAAACAAATACTAGAATAATGTTAACTGAAATCATTATGTCGGCTCCAGAAATTTTTAGTTCTCTTCACTAGCCGCCTCTGCCACATAATCAATCAGCTGCAGAAGGAAACCATCTAGGCAGTTTCCTTTCAGCTTCCGTCGTTTGGTAAGAGCATCTACTGCCGAACGGCTCAAACCATCTCTTGTATGCTCTGGATGCGCCCGATCATTAACTGGATAGGAGAGAAGAGAAAAAGTGATCCAACCGGACCTTTCATATCTTTTCTATATATCCAGGCTGTTCGCGAACCCTCATATTCATCTTAAATATGAGGAGGATATGAGGGCTCGCAGACACGCCCGGACGTGCCCAGTCAATCCGCCACGTAGGTTGCGGCCTCACTGTTTGTTCATTCCTTTTTTTCTTTTCATCTCCATCAATCACGTGCAAGTGATCAAACATATGACGTAGAAAATGAAAATTATGCCTGCACGAATGAACAAATAGAGACTCAAAATGGGCACGCCCGGTCACCGACCGAGCGCGCGTCCGCGAGCTTTTAAGGATCGAATTAAAGGTACATGGCTAAAGATGCTCTAAGGCGTCTCAGCAACTGGTGGCTAGAATCATTAGTTTGAGCAGTAGCCGTGGAGTCCAATTCATCATGCATCGACGTGCATGATACAACCAATCTTGCGACGGAGGCACGCCACCACACACACACATAGGCATTCGCAGACGAGCAGCACCCTGCGTCTGACGGCGTGACTGCCAAGGCAGTAGTATACATGCCCGGACGTGGATGGCCGCCGCGGTGGACCAAAGTCAGAGTTCTCCTTCCCCGCCGCAGCCACCTTCCAGTCCATGCTGCCTGTTATAAATACGTCACACAGTGAAGCTCCTGGTTCTTCCATCAGATCCCCTCTTCTCTCTCTCTCTATTCTTCTTGCTCTAGCACTCTGCACTGCTCTGTTCTTTCCGGCTAACACCGGCTACGCCCACCCCACGGCGGATGGAGGGCGTCGAGGAGATTGTCATCGCCGGCGCCGGGCTCGCCGGTCTCGCGACGGCCCTGGGGTTGCACAGGTAATTGAAGAATCATTCTAATTGGTTCCTTGTTCGGTTCGGCGCTAGCTCCGGCCTGGAAGCGAGATCGAGCTGACGAACGGGTGGTGCAGGAAAGGGGTGAGGTGCGTGGTGCTGGAGTCGTCGGCGACGCTGCGTGCGTCGGGGTACGCCTTCACCACATGGACCAACGCCTTCCGCGCCCTGGACGCCCTGGGCGTCGGGGACAAGATCAGGGAGCACCACCTGCTCTACGAGAGGTAATATTCTTTAAGCAACCCACAGAAGCTTTTCTGTCCAGAAGATGGTAGAGTAGTACAGATACTGACTGACAGTGGGACCCGGAATAATTGGGTCATGGTCAAACCTGTCAAATTACTTCTATTTATGGAAAATGAATATTTTTCACCACCAGTCTATATTTGGTTTCTAAACTACAAAACCAGTTTGACACCTAGCAATTGTATGGATTAAAAGGTCCATCAAACCACTGCGAGGTGGCTTTTCAATAAAAAAAATCTTCTAAATTTCAGAGAAGCAATTTCAGAAAATATACTAGCTTTCTTAAAAAATAGTCCCTCCGTCCCATAATATAAGTGTGTTTTTGACACTAAACGCTCTGGTATTATGGGACTAAGGGAGTATAAGTTAGAAGATATTGTTTTGAGATATAAATTAGAAGCCATTGGTATTGTCTGAAAACCCAGGAAACTCATAGTGGACTATGAATTCAGCCAATTCACTGTCAACATCGAATTTGCAAACTGCGCTACAAATTCAGCCCATTCATTATATACTGAAATACTCCATTCACTAGTGAAATGGGAAGAAGACTGAGTTATTCTACTTGATGGCAGGCTGGTGGCCTTCTCTGCATCCACGGGGCTGCCGCAAAAGTGAGCCTAAAGATGCAGGGCAAAAGGTACTGAATCTGAAACCATGCTCACTGAATTAATTACAGAAGCACGATCTGACAGTTTCTCCACGTACAATCTTACGAGCAATGCTCTGACCAACATCATGGTTGATTGTTGCATCAGCGGGCCTCACGAGATTCGGTGCGTGAAGCGCAACTTCTTGCTGGAGACGCTGGAGGAGGAGCTGCCGGAGGGCACCATCAGGTACTCCTCCAAGATCGTCGCCATCGAGGAAGAGGGCAACGTCAAGCTGCTGCACATGGCCGACGGCTCCATCATCAGAGCCAACGTAAGAATGCATCTTCTTCTTGTCTGCACTGCAGTGGCAAAATCTTACACTGACTAAGCGGGTACGTGCGTGCAGGTTCTTGTGGGGTGTGACGGAGTGAACTCGGTGGTGGCCAAGTGGCTGGGCCTGCCCAAGCCGATCCTCTCGGGGCGGTCCGCCACCCGGGGCCTCGCCGAGTACCCGGACGGGCACGGCTTCGGGCCCGAGATGCTGCAGTTCATCGGGCAGGGCTTCCGCTCCGGCGTGCTCCCCTGCTCCGACACCTCCGTGTACTGGAACTACACCTGGTACCCGTCCCCGGCGGACGGGGACGCGGAGGAGAGCGTGGACAAGATGCGGCGGCACGTGCTGGCCAGGCTTCGGGCCGCCAAGATCCCCGCGGAGGCGCTGGACGTGGTCGAGCGGGGCGAGATGAGCGAGGTGGTGTCGTCGCCGCTGCGGTTCCGGTCCCCGCTGGCGCTGGTCCGGGGCAGCATCTCCAGGCGCGGCGTGTGCGTGGCCGGCGACGCGTTCCACCCGATGACCCCGGAGCTCGGGCAGGGCGGCTGCGCGGCGCTGGAGGACGGCGTCGTCCTTGCCCGATGCCTCGGCGAGGCCTTCGCCGTCGGCGGGCACGGGAGCGCCGAGGCGGCCCTGGAGAAGTACGCCGGGGAGCGGAGGTGGCGCGCCGTCCGGCTGGTCACTGCCGCGTACGTCGTCGGCTTCGTGCAGCAGAGCAGCAACCCGGCGATCAAGTTCCTGAGGGAGAGGTTCCTGTCCGGGTTGCTGGCCAGAGTGATGGTCGACATGGCCGACTTCGACTGCGGGAAGCTCTAGTAGTTATGTCACTCCTTCACGGCAAAACGAGAACAACGAGAGAAAACGAATCGGTTAAAACGGCATCAATCAAATCGATTTGATGCCTGTATTTCGACTTTTCGAGTTAAATAAAGAAAATAGTTTGATACCCGATAAGATTATGAAAATACTAACGCCCACACGTGTGGGCGTTTGCATCTCACCCACATGCGTGGATCCGCGTCCGTTTATGGGTGCATGAATCTTGGCATGTTCGTGCTGTCACATAGGACTGGCCTGTGGTGTTTGGGTATTCATCCGGTCGCTCACACGTCCGTTTCACCACATGAAGGGGCCGGCGTGTGGGCATTTAGCAATTCGCCCACACGCCAGATCATGTTCACGCACAAGGGCTGATGTGTGGACATTTGTCATCTCGCCCACACGCCCGTCTCCTCTCCCACACCCAAACTGCCAGTTGCCATGTGTTTTGCAGTGTACATGATAAATTGCCCTAGTGTGCTTGTAAGCATATGGCAACTCTTTTTTTATCCAAACATGTCAGTTGCCATGTGTTGCAGGGTACACGGCAACTGCCCTAGTGTGTTTGTAAGCAGATGGCAACTCTCTCTTTTACCCGAACATATCAGTTGCCATGTGTTTTGCAGGGTACACGACAACTGCCCTAGTGTGCTTGTAAGCAGATGACAACTCTCCCGAACATGTCAGTTGACATGTGTTTTACAGGGTACACGACAACTGCCCTAGTGTGCTTGTAAGCAGATAGAAACTCTCCCGAACATGTCAGTTGCCATGTGTTTTGCAGGATATACGGCAATTTTGATGATAATTATTGGCATATGCATTCTATCATATTTTCTGGTTCAAAGAATGCATACTAGTCAGTGAGAACAAGCTAGTTTGGCACTGAGTAGAAATTAGCTTGATGTTGTGAACTTTTTCATGATGTGAGTAGTTCCTGGTTGTGAAACTTTGATGCTATGCATCTTTTGGAAAGACAAAGTAATTGAAAAGCATCAGTTGGATCTTGTGATTTCTCTCTGTCTTATTGTTTCTGTTTGTACCTCTCCAATCCATATTACTCGTCGATCAAATGGTCCCAACGAAACATGATCGACATCCATTTGAGCGACAAGTAATACGTGCCGGAGGAAGTGATCGATAACATCAATGATGAACAACAACAAGTTATGACCAGGATCAATTCCAAATAATACCAACAAAATGCCAACATCGACAACAAGGTATGACAACAGTAACATGAGACAACATGATCCATTACATAGTTCACACAACAACATCAACTAAATAGTTCAAACAAACAGATGGTTCAAAGCTTCTGCTACATAGTTCGAACATGACTCAAATGACATGATCACACAGTGTTCACAGCAAGTTTCCCCTCTTGCTCCTAGTGTTGCATGCAGGATTAGAAGGGAGCCTGGACTTGCTCCTAGTGCTCCTAGCATCAGCTGGCACCTTCTTAGGAGAGGCAGACCTGCTAAGCTGGTTGCTTCCAGTTACAGAACCACCAGTCGTGAGCGTATCGCCTTTCGACTTCTTATTTGGTGAAAGAGGGTTATCACCTCTCTCTGCTGGCCTCTTGTAATTTTTCCTTGGGTTAAAAAGTAACAACACAAGCTTTTATTAGTTAATAATGAAGTAATTTGTTAGATAAATCAATTAGTTGTAGTTATAATAGTAGGTTACCTCATAGTAGTTCCTGCAGCACTTGCTACAGTAGGTGCATCAGTTACAGGAACTGGTGCATCTTCTTCTTCAAGATCTTCTTGTGCTTCTGTTTCTTCTACTGCATCATCCTCATTTGTTGCTGCAAGTTCATCTGTATCAGATGGTACATCATTGTGTTCAGGTGCATTGTCAGCACCCAAGTGCTCATCCTCTTCTCCAAAAGCTGGGTCAATTGACTCTTTGCACTTATTGCCATGGTGACCAAGTCTACCACATCTAGGGCATTTCTTTCTCCTGCCCCCAAGTCCTTTTCCTTCTGACTTTGCCCTAATCCTGGTCTTTCTAGGTCTACCAGGGGGCCTGTTTTGAACTGGAGCACACAATTTGAATCTAGGATCAACTACATCCCACTGTTGCTTCCCCTCCATTGCAGGCAAGTTGTCAGCATATGTTGCATTGAACATTTGTACTGAGTAATATGGGTGCACATACTGGTCAATCTCACTGGCTGGACCTCTCATTGATGTAATAAAGTATAGTGCATGTATGCAAGGTTGGCCTGTAATTTGCCACTTTCTGCAGCTACAAGTGTTAGCTTTCAAGTCTACAGGATATCTCCACTCCCTCTTTTCTCTGTCAACTGCAGTGACCTCTGCCTCATGTGTACTTCTTTTCACTACAGTCATGTCCAACCCCTTTGATTTTGCAAGCAACACTTTCATAACTTTTGGAATTATTACATGACCAACATATGTTGCTGCAGCAATGCTTTGCCTAATGTCAAATTTCTCCATTATGTATTGTCTTATTCTGTCAAGCAGATCAACAATGTGTAGCCCTTTCCACTTTCTAATCTTTGAATTAAAAGACTCTGCAAGATTATTGTTAACATAATCTAGATTGCAAGTTTCATTGAAAAGAGCCCTTGCCCATAACTTAGTGTGGTGCTCCTCTATGTACTCTTGCACACCTTGCTTGCTGTACAACTGAGTGAGATGGTACTTGTGCTTTTTCAAGCTGTAGGTCAAAGAACAGGGCCACAAGTTTTCATCAAAGAATTTTCCTCTAAACTTTTTACTAAAATTAGCTGCAAGATGCCTCATGCATTCCCTGTGCTCTACACCGGGGAACACATTTTCTACAGCTGACTCAAGTCCCTTGCAGGCATCAGTGTGAATAACCAATCCCTCTGGATGGCCTATTAGGTCTTTCAAGTTCTGGAAAAACCAAGTCCAACTCTCAATGTTCTCTGTCTCTAGCACTCCATATGCAACTGGAAAGATCCAGTTGCATGCGTCTACAACACAAGCACTAACTAGCTGTCCTCTATACCTTCCATTTAATGATGTTGCATCTACTGCTAGATATGGTCTACATCCAGCTAGAAAACCTTGCCAAGAGGTCTTAAATGATACAAAAACTCTCCCAAAGCACTCTTTGTACCTTTTCTGTCCATTGAGTTTAAACTCTACAGTGTGTCTATCAATATTAACCACACTACCAGGAGATGCCTTTTCTACTTCAGCTTTGAAAGTATACAAGAGTTGGAATGAATCAGTCCATTTACCATAGATGTTATCCAGTGCCATTTGCTTACCATAAAAAACTCTCATGTAAGGGAGCTGCACCCCATACTTCTTTTTCAAGTCTGTCTGCACAGTTGGCACTGAAATATTTGAGTTCTCCCTCACCCAGTTCTTCACAACATCTGCCACCCACCTACTCTTTGCAGACCTGAGCCTTTGCCTCCTTGTAACACTTGGGCATATGTGAGCTGTCTTGTTCACTTTGACCTGCAGCAAGTAATAGTCAGCAACAGTCCATACAATTATGAATGCACAATTATTACTAAGGAAAGTTATTATTTGCACTAACTACATTAGTCCTACAGTGTATTACCTGAAAAAGTGTGCTATTTCTCATTCTGGAGGCATGCATCCTCCACTTACACCTTTTGTAAGCACAGTGAACAGTTAGTCTACTGGGCTCACTCTTGTCAATTATAAATTCACTCTGGGTCTTGATTGAAAAGGTGGAAAGTGCATTCCTACAATCTATGACATCTGAAAATATAGTTCCTTCTGCTAAAGAAGGATCATCTCTGTTATACTGCACATCAGGCCTACCCTCATCCTCTGTCTCAGAATATCCCATGTCCATGTCCTCCTCTCTTTCATCAGAGTCTGTCTCCTCAAATTATGGGGGTGGAATGTAATCTTCACCATCATCCTCATTAGGTGGTTTCCTGACAACAAACTCTGGGTGCATTCTTTCATCCTCATCGTCTGTGGGCACTTCATCAGGAAATTCCTCTTCTATGATTGGATAAGTTGTTGCTTTGCTATACTCAGGACATGGTTGACTAGGAAAGTTGGCACTTGGGGTTCCTGGTTGCTGTACTGTGCTGTGAGTTCCATTTCCTCTTCTAGCCTGACTGCCATCAGGTTCTGAAGTTGCAGCTGCTGATTTCCTTCCTGTAGATACACACCTTTGAGACTGTGAACTAGTAGCTGCTGCTTTCCTTCTACTAGTTGTTGCTTTCCTTCTACTAGTTTGATTGCTTCTAGGCTGTGAAGGACTGGGTGCAGATCTTGCTACTCTGCTCTTTGTTTCCCCTCTTTTCCTTTGTATGACATTAATTTCCAGCTGCACTGAATTTCTCTCAGCATTTGTGGCAAACATAACCCCTAACTCATCATCATTTTGAATTGGAACCCATACAATATTCTGCATGTCCCAATATCTAAATTCTACAACATCAAAAATACCCCATGGATATTTATCACTTATAGCACCTCTAAATTGGACAAATGTTGATGTTTTGTCCACCATAAAAGGAAATGTGAAGCCTGTACCGGCTCCTTTTGTGCCACCATTGCCTATGATAGCGTTCTCCATTCTACAGTTGAGACGAAAAGCTCTCTCTGGTTTCATCCTACGATAAAAGCATGTAGTAACCACTAAGAGCGCATTCAATCGGGGTAAATCTATGTACAGTAACAGATCCAGGTCAAGATTCAAATAAACTTGGGACAAGAAACTTACCCTACTGGAATTTGCATTCCTGTCGTCTGCGTCCTTTGCCTGGATGCTTCTTTGGCACCACCACAATCACTGGAAGCCGCCATCGTCGACACTGCCTCCTTTAGTGCCGTAGCAGAGGGAAAAAAGACGGTGGATAATCACCTCCACTCCCACCGCATCCCGACGCCCGCAATCCTACAAATACGCGGCAACTACTGGACCGCCGGTGAGGGATTTAGGGTGACCTAGGGTTAGGGTTTCGGTTGCCAAGAGGGGAACGAGAGAAGAGGTGTGTCGCGAGG